ATTCCAGGGATTTGGGGCATTCCCAGGTCCTGTCACATTCCCTGGATCCTCCCCACATCCCAAGAGAAAATTTAGGATTTCAAACACCCCGTGGAGCTCAGTGGGATCCAATCCCACCGAACCATCCCAAAATCAGAGCTCCCCTCTGGAATCCCGTGGCCATTCCCAGGGCTCTGAGCTCTCCCTGGATCCTTCCCTTCTCCAGGGGAACATTCCCAGCTCTCTCCAGCCCTTGGAGCATCTCCAGAACCTCCCCTGGAATCGCTCCAGCATCTCCTCAATTTGGGATCCAGGAGCTGGAGCAGCTCCACAGGCGGGGCCTCACCTGAGCCTCCCCAAGCGGGGGGACAGGAGGGACCCTGAAGTGACAAATGCCACCCCCGGGTGTCCCCAAGGCCTCACCAGCTGGTTGGACACGTCCCCGTGGTCCTTCCTGGTCATGCCCTCTCCGATGGCCGATTTCATCAGCCGGGACAGCGACGGCAGGACGTTGATGGGGGGGTAAATCTGTGGGGTGAGAGCCACCCCAATGTCCACCAGGCCCCCCCATCCCGGTGTTCCCGGCTGGTTTCCAGCCCTGGATCCATCCCAAACCCATCCCAAATCCATCCCCTGGAGATGGGAAGGGCTTTGGGAACCAACCTGGCGGTTGTGGAGCTGCCGGTCCACGTAGATCTGGCCCTCGGTGATGAAACCCGTCAGGTCGGGGATGGGGTGGGTGATGTCTGGGGTGGGGGGACAAAGGGGGTGTGAGACCCCAAAGTGGGGCCGGCAGCTCAGCGGGACAGGGGACAGCGCTATTGTCACACCTGGGGGGACACCGGGGCAGCAGAGCCATCACTGGGGTCGGTACAGGGGGTTGGGTGTCACCCCCTTGTCCCGGAGATGGGGACCCCAAATGGGAGGGGATGGGGTGGCTGGGATGGCACAGAAGGGTTTTGGTGTCACCTCCTTGTCCCTGACCCCAAATGGGAGCAGATGGGGTGGCTTGGATGACATTTTGGCGTCACCCCCTTGTCCTGGAGACAGGGACCCCAAATGGGAGGGGATGGGGTGTCTGGGATGGTTGGAGGGGTCTCGGTGTCACCTCCCTGTCCCTGACCCCAAATAGAAGGGGACGGGGGTGGCTCAGATGGCACAGAGGGGTTTTTGGTGCCACCTCCCTGTCCTGGAGCTGGGGACCCCAAACTGGAAGTGCTGAGGAGTTTTTGGGGACACAGGGAAGTCTCAGATCCTAAATCCCCCCCGGGAGCTCCCCAAAACCGCCTCAAACCAGAGCCACTTGGGATTTCCTGTCACGATTTCCTGGAGTGGGGAAAACCCGATATCCCACAGGATTCCTGATTTCCCGTGGGATTCCCAGTTTCCCA